CATATTGTTGAAAGTAAATAAAATATATAAAAGGTATAAGGTTTCATGCTATTTGTGTTACGGTAGCGTTAATATAATTTGAACCCGAAGCCTAAAGGTTGAAAATATACCTAATTGGAAAATATATTTGACGCATAAATAACGCACCATAACAATAGTCAGAGCTAATAATAATACTACTTATCAACATACATTCCAATTCTCTTGATTTTTCAGGAAGCTGTATAATTCGTAAAATAGGAAGCCGGTCGCTATAAATATTGAATCTTTCTTTCTTTATCAAATTTTTCCTGAATTTTGACAATTTCTCAAACATACTATCATTTATGAGTGTGAAATAGTCTGTGGTCACTTACGTTAATTAAGGACGATTCCTGGCAAATTTCCATACCTATTTCTTTTAGAGGCTCGTATTTCCTTATTCATGTGGACTGCCCCTTTTAAATAAATTAGTTTTAGCAAACGTTTTGGATATATCAGTTATAAACATAATTTTTCAGCGAAACTAGATATGGTGGCCCGGCTAGGTTTTAAATGTTTGTATAAAGCTTACCGAAATTTGATTGATTTCATTCAGGCAGACGCTCACCAGCCACTTCTTATCCAATTGTTATGCGAGCAAATGTCATGTAAACAAGAGGATATTGTAGATTTTGAACTTTGTCTTGCTGATACTCAACCTGCAGTAAGTACATTTTCTTTGTTGGAATAAATTTTCGGTCAAAGACAGCACTGGTGGAGATTCGGTTATCGCATCCCGCATCCCATCCCCCCTGCTAGTCCTCCGGTTTTTCTGCTTTTCACAATTAGCTAAGTTATCAAGCACGTTTGATCGACAAACCTGAACCATACCTTTTGTGATCGACATTAAATCATTAGGCACTTTCATCATCAAGAGAAAAATCTTTCACCATCGACGAATTTTACTCCATTTCTTTGGAATTGTAACCTTCCTATTGTCGTAAATCAATTACGTCTGCTCACAATACAGAAAGATAGTAATAATAATAATCTTTATTTAAACTGTGAGACCCATTCAGCTAATTAAAGGTGGTCTTACCCGGGTGAACAGTATTTACAGTTATGGAATACTTACATATATATACGTTTATATACAATATTACAATAATCAGTAAAAATTACAAACTACACCTATGTGTAGAATTGTCTAATTCTAAAAATGTTTAAAAGCATTGTTTTTAAAGCTGCCGAGAACTTTAATATCTCTGATACATTTCGGTAGCAAGTTCCAATCACATGCTGCAGCGACTTTAAACATAGTTTGCCCTAGTGAGGTGTTTACTCTAGGTACAGTATATCTATCAAAGTTTGATCACTTGTGGTACTCAAATGAAGTAAAATCACTTGACGAAATGTAATTTCTTAATGTCCCAACTGAATTCGAACCCAAAGTCTCAACCGTCTGACAACTGAATTATTCTTACACACGTTACACACGTTGCTGCTTGATGCTGCTTGCCACTTCTTGATTCTGCTTGATGCTGCTTGCCGATGATTGCCTTGAGAAGCAACCAATGTATTATTCAGAAAAATATTAATCGAAATATTTTAAGAGCGAAGTAAATCTTGCAAATGGAAATCCAGCCTTGTATTATACAAATACAAAGTTAACGATCTCATAATCTTGTACCTCAAGATATTTCCAGATTTCAAGATCAGATGTTTTCTCTTGTATAGACTGTGGGTGGAGCATTGTCGGAGTTTATCTTTTCACCAAGACTGGATAATCTTGTTAATGCTTATGCTTCTATTCAGGTAAGATGGTTTTTGTTAACTGTTTCAATTATTGTCGCAGCCCAAAAGTATGTACGAATGAGTAAAGAGCAGTGAGGCAACTGAATTCTCTGCTTACGTGGTTCTGGCCGAGGGGCATTTCACTCCAAAAAAGCGTACGGGATTTGCGGATTTTTAAAAATCCGCGGATTTTTTAGCGGATTTTTCCCGGATTTTTTTAAGAGAAAATCTGTTGGATTTTCCGGATTTGTTTGGATTTTCCGGATTTGTTCGGATTTTTTCCGGATTTTTTGACGAAGCGTACGGGATTTTCGGATTTTTTAAAAATCCGCGGATTTTTCCCGGATTTTTGAAGAGAAAATCTGTTGGATTTTCCGGATTTGTTCGGATTTTTTCCGGATTTGTTCGGATTTTTCCGGATTTTTTGACGAAGTGTACGGGATTTTTGGAGTGAAATGCCCCTCGGTTGTGGCACTCGCATTTTTATTTTAGATTAACGTTTGCACATGACATTACTACGTGTCATTGGGCGCCATCTTGGTTAATTCGAAAGTTTACTTTAACACTTTTACCGCGGCCATGAAATAGTTGAGTTAATTTTCTTTTTCCTGGATTGTTTTAAACGTTTTCCCCTATCATGGATGATTTTACGGTCTCTGCATGACTCGACCAGGAATAAAGAGCATATTACATGTATGTTGGTTTTGAAAATCCACCTGAGCTTCTTTTCACTTCTTGTTTTAGGGTTTGATAAGTTCTCTTGATTCGTCTTTAACGACCGACACCAATATCCGTATGGCTGTTCTTTATGACAACGAAGAAGTAAGTAGACATTCCTTTTCCGTATTGTACAGACATGTCGTGCATAAGAGTATTGACTTTGTTATGCGCACATTATTTTTGTCGTGTGCATTGATTGTGTGCTGCACAGTATGTCCACCTCCAACCAATCTACAGTGACGGATACTTCTCGAAATGTCGAGTCACAATCTCCCAGCTTTCACTGTCTTAAAAGTTAAAACCTAATTTTAATATTTGTTTGTTGCCAGATTGGCTCTCGAAGTGCTCAAGGTGCATTTTCCAATTGGACAGAGTTGGTCTTAAGACGACTTTCTTCAGCGAGTAGTAAGTTAGTCATGTTATAGTTTTTGTGTATTAGAGCTTTCTTGTACCTTCCTCGTTGCTTCTTTTTTTATGTCTAAAGACCTCGTGTTTGCCCAACCTGTGCATGTGAGCAGGCTCTCCTATAGGTTACAAGTTGATACAGTTAGTGTTTTTATTTTGTTTTAGACGAAGACAGGACGTGTTTTGAAAGAAGTTTAGCCAGTTCCTTTCTTGTCAGTGCAGATCAAGCACACGCCCTTCATCCCAATTATTCGTAAGTCTTTTTTTATTTTCGTAGTCTTAAGGTACGTTTACACACAACGATTAATCGGGCCGATTCAGCTTTAATTAAATGATATTTGAAAAATACGCTGTCAACGTCATCGACCAGGGGCGGATTTAGACCGTTGCAACTGTAGCATATGCTACGGTCAGATTTTCCATAGGCCAGTTCTAACATGGATCGATCATAAAATCAATCTAAAATATAATTTAGCAATATTTTGTTTACTTTCCTTGTTTATATTTCAAGGTTTTATTTTATTTAGTTTTATATGTTCTAAAACATTTTATTTTGACAAATTGATGACATTTATAATACGTAACGTTAATTGTTTTAAGAATTCCCGCCCGAAAATACGGTTGTAATTGCCCGTTTGCGGGTCATTGCGCAATGGACTATAGCTTAGAAAATATCATCCTTCAGAAATACACCGTAGCGTGTTGCCCATATATGATCAATTTTCGCTACGGTCAGATTCATTAAGGTCGAATCTGACCGTAGCGAAAATTGGCATATACGGCATTCTGATTGGTTTGCTACGGTCAAACGTAGCAAACCAATCGGAATGGGGCAAATGCTATAGTTTGCTACGGTGGCATGAAATTGGCTACTGCTCCAGAACGATGGAATATCTGATATTTGTGTTTGGCTTATCGACAACAACATGATATTGGGAACCCACAGTACGGTTGTGCGCATTTCGAAATGAAAGCCGTCGTAAAGCTAAAGGATTTATATGCGTCGAGGTAGAAATAAAATCAGATAGTAAAACGAATCATTTCCAGTCAGGTAAGCCTTATGAATGATAAGAGATGCACATTATATTTTAATTTGAGTTTTTACTGTATTCAGTATAGTGTTCGCTATTAACTTCGCTTTATTAAAGCGTTTGTGCGCGTATGTACAGTATACCTGCATGTATTGGAATTAATACGCGAATTATGATACGCGCGTATATATATCGTGTTTTATAGCGCGCTAATATTTGTTTGTAATGCGTATATATTCGTAAGATACGCGTATTCATATCATACGCGCGTTCATATGATATGCGTATTCGTATGATACACGCGTTCGTAGATGATACGCGCATTTCGGTATTCAATTGATAATGATATGCGTATGATACGAGTATCATACCGATATCGTATGTTAAAATATACGCGAGCAATAGTTTACATTTTGAGATCATTTCGGCTTATTTTTGCTTGAGAAATGAATACAATGAGGACAAATTTAATGGTCACATGCAGTGCTCAGAACGCAGGAAATGGCATTTCCGGGCTTCAAATTTCAAAAATTTTCAGGGGGGGCATGCCCCCAGACCCCCCCTAGCTATGCGAGGTCTTGGAAAATGCTACGGTCAGATTTTTGGCTGGATCCGCCCCTGTCGACGACATCACAGAATAAGTCACACAGAAGCCCGACTTCTTGGTTTTTCCTATGATTTTCCAATGATTTTGGCGTAACCATAATTCGTCATCAAAATGCTGACGCCATGGTCCCAGCCAGTGCGTGTTTGAGAGGCATTCACCTCCCCTGATAATATTAAAAATGGCGGACGTCCGGGGGGAATGCTTCTCAAACGCGCACTGGCTGGGACCATGGCGTCAGCATTTTGATGATGAATCATGGTGTGGCAGCGGTTACTCTAGTCGACCTTCTGTGTGTCTTATTCTGTGACGACATCGTTAACTGGCAACATTCGTCATTAACATTTGGAATTAACCTGCTCGATTAATCGTTGTGTATAAACGTAGCTTTAGGCAACTTTTGTATTGTGGAGGACGAATTCGGATTCATACCCAAACCTGCACGGTTCCACCTATTTAGACAGAACCATTGTAGGTTTGAGGGAACGTGGAAGTTCTATACCTGTATATATATATATATATATATATATATATATATATATATATATATATATATATATATATATATATATATATATATATATATATATATATATATATATATATATATATAGGGCCTGTTTACATGATCATGCATTACCAACCTCGTACCCAGGGTTCTCTTTGTACAAAGAATGATTTTGATATATTGAAATAAGTCACGTTATATATCAAAATCTAAGTTCGTCCTTTCTGAATGCAATGATCTTTATTTTATTGCGATAGCTTTTATAGCTTTTACGTTACATGAAATCAAACAGTGTCCAGTTTTTTTGGGACACCCGGTAATATATAATTGTAAACGAAACGTTGTTCAAGCAGTAATAATAATCTTGTTGAACTATGTGATCTTCGCGCCAACGTTTCAATTATTTTAATCTTTGTTTGAAGTTTTGTTTAAGCCCAAATTTGTCGTATTTCAGTACATCAGAATCATCCCACCTTCTATCCCGTCCCGGCCAACTGGGATTATATAAGGCCCCGTTTACATGAGACCGGGACGAAGTCAAACCGAAATGAAAATTAAAATTATCAACATGTTTACATGAGACAGGTACGAAAATCACAAAATTTTCAATTTATTCCCCTTGCCAAGCAATTTTCGTTTTTAGGTAGCTTTTGTTAGCATGTGTTGTTCCAATGTCAAGGTTACAGCCGAGACCGGTCTGAAATATATTTGTGTTTACATTAATTCATCCCGGTCTGAATTCATGCCGGTCTGAAGTCAGTCGGCTCGGTCCAGCAGGCGGAATGACTTGATACCGGTCTGAGTTATTTTCGTTCCGGTCTCATGTAAACATCTATTATAAATAATACTATGACCGAAATGAAATGGTCCCGGTTCGACTTCGTTCCGGTCTCATGTAAACGGGGCCTAAGCAGTACCTGACTGAATAGTTTTCGTCTGGGTCGATATGTGCGCTGTAACCGATAGAACCTACAAAGGGTAATTCATTGTATCGTCTTCACTAATGAGTCGTCTTTAAGAATACCTGCAACCATCCAAAACACTTGCCTGAGACACCGTTTACACTGTACCGGATTCGCTGGTCACGACATCTTCGTTTGCTGCTCCCAGGAGCAACGTTTAACAACAAAGGTTTACTCTTTCGATAACGTCTGTATGTTTCTGCTTGTTACTACCGTTATAAATGTTTAGGCTATTTCATTGACTGTTAAAACTGATGTCGTGACCATCGAATCCGGTACAGTGTAAACGGGGCCTTACATTCATGCATTAAGTCATTATCAATTCATTATTAAAGTTTTCTTGTCATTTTTAAAACAAATGTTTCCATCATGCATGCACCTTTTTTGGCATGTGCATTTACTTTGCTTACAAGATCATGTTAATATTTACTTAATAGTTTCCATTCATTAAATTATCAATATCTGAGTAAATGCAAGAAGTAGAAATCGGCTTGCTAACTAGTTGAAGTTGTGAATCCTTTTTCGAACTAGAAGCCTCTTAACCAACCACGTTCTCTTAATATGGGCGGAACCTACAGGTGAATTCACCTACAGGTGAATATAACAAAATCGAAATTTTCAAAATGGCGGCTAGCCGTTTTGTGGAAGATATACTGTTAAAGAAATAAGCGAAATTAAAATAAATTCAGTCCCAAAAACACAAAAGACTTGTGTAAAAATACTAAAACAATTATTCGCCTCAGGCTCGGTGATTATCGGGAATATTCACCTCGACTTCGTCTCGGCGAATATTCCCCGATAATCACCTTGCCTTCGGCAAATAATTATTAAATACCATGCGAAAGTTTCAAATGAACATTCTGCAGCATGGGTTTTGATTGAGTATACTCCAGTTTTTTCCCACTCTTGGACAAGCTATTTTAGGACATATAAATTAGGAAATTAATTCTCACAATTGTTGTAAAATTAAATAATGTGGGGCTAGTAGGGTTACTACGTAATATAGGATATACTACTTAACGATTGATCATTTAAAAACCCCAGCGGGAATGCTGAGCTGATGTTGCATGCTGTATATCATCTAACAAAGTAACAAAATCATCCCGCCTCTTAGTATATTACTGAATAGTTTTCTTCTGTATCGATTGTGTGCTCTCTAACCGATAAAACCCACAAAATTATTTTATCATCTTCACTAATGAATGACGTATCCCTTAAAAATGCCTTCAACCAAAACACTTGCCTATTATGTAAATATGACATTCATAAATTAATCGTTATCAATTCATTAATGTTTTTTTCATTTTTAAAACAAATGCTTCCATCACCTTTTTTGGCATGTGCATTTATTTTGCTTACAAGGTCATGTCATGTTAATATTTATTTAAAGTGCCTATGACACGAAATTTCACCCCAAATGTTTATGATTGCATTGTAAAGATCACTTAAAATGACTTAATAATTTCTTTTATAGAATTTTAGTAATTTGCTTCCTTTGCAAGATATTCAACTTTGTTTCATATGCAAATATCACCGGTGTGACATCACATCGCATAATGATATTTTGAAAACGCAATATTTTACCTTGATAAAATATTTTTACAAACAAATACAGATGGTTAATTACCAGTTATGAAATTAATGCATATACAAGGGCAATTTTTAAGTTTTTTAGATACGTATTCGTCAAGAAAACTATACTTTTCTGAAAACTCATTATGTGATGTGATGTCACACCGGTGATATTTGCATATGAAACGAAGTTGAATATCTTGAAAAGGGAGCAAGTTACCAAAATTTAATAAAAGAAATTATTAAGTCATTTTAAGTGATCTTTACAATGCAACTATAAACCTTTGGGGTGAAATTTCGTGTCATAGGCACTTTAATAGTTTCCATTCATTTAAAAATCCATATCTGAGTAAATGTAAAAGTAGAAATCAGCTTGCTAACTAAAAGTCTCTCAATCAACCTTGTTCTCTTATAATATAGCCGGAACCGCAGTTATGGTCTTAGACGGGACATTTTTACAGTCCTCATGTAATGCTCTCGGAAACTCCCACGCACTGTCTGCGAGTGCAACCTACGAGTATTAATGACAATATAATAAATAATTGTGAATACTATGCGAAACTTTCAAATGAACATTCTGTCGGGTGGGTTTTGATTGGGTATACTCCGGTTTTCTCCCACTCTTTGACAAGCTATTTTAGGACATATAAATTAGGAAATTAATTCTCACAATTGTTGTAAAATTAAATAATGTGGGGCTAGTAGGGTTAGTACGTAATATAGGATATACCAACCTCGTACCCAGGCCCGCGGCCAGCACAAAGAGAACTCTGGGTACGAGGTTGAGGATATACTACTTAACGATTAGTCGTCAAAAGAATCCAGTAGGAGTACAGAGGTGATATTGCACGCTTGTATATGCATATACATTTAACAAAGTTACAAATAGTAAGATTACTATACTAATCCCCAATCAATCAAATGAAGCATGAAGACATATGGGTCGTTTTTGTTAAACATTTTTCGTCTTTCTGGCTTCTGCAACAATATCTGAGAAAATGTCCTGAATGTGAAATTTCGAAATAATCTTTCAAATTTTGAAAGATTAACACAGCCAATTTTCCTACGATTTGTATTCGCCGTGTCGCACACCTAATTTAAAGGGGAGTGAGTTACGATTTTCATGTTCAAAATAATTTACTCTTTCACGATATCGTTGTTGAAAACAGCGTCAAATATATACAGCGATATTAGCCTTTAGGAGACCAACGTGAAAATTTGCATGTGACGTCCCCCATTCCTGAATATTTGAATGTACATGCAGCTGGTCTTGATAAACAATACGCCTATCTATAAAGGTGTTTAATACTCTTTATGCAATAAAGTTAAAGTTCTTTGTACCTTAATGAAAAAGAAAAATGCATGGGGGATACAGTATATTCTCGTCATCATGGATAACATATCAATCATGTATCTCAACAGTCGCTTATTTTTACAGCTCCAGCGACTTACGCCCGTATTCTAAAAGCTCACTCACACTCAATGAGTGGAAGTTCAATCTGAGCTTCTCTTGAGTGTCAATGCTGTTTTTGAATAGCTGGAGGGTTAGTGTCGTACCTTACTATGTGACAACTCACACTCCAGCTATTCAAAAACAGCATTGACACTCATGAGAAGCTCAGATTGAACCTCCACTCATTGAGTGTGAGTGTGAGTGAGCTTTTAGAATACAGGCGTTAGTCTTAGACAATAGAGCGTCTTTTTGCAATTATAGGTTATAATGATTCTTTTACTCATCATATTCCCATCCGTTTGATTGTAACGTAGTTTCGGACTGTTAATGTTATTTTCTACACTATAATAGCGGGATACATTAGAAGATAATATTAAAATTAAACATGTCAATCAATTGCGATTATTAAGGGTATATTAATTATTTTTAATTGATTTTCCAAAATGTTATCTATAATAAAATTTGAAATCAAATTTCCTCTGTCAAAGTTCAATACATAGAGTACAATGTTTTAATAAAAAGTGCAGGTGAGCCTGTGAGGCTTATGAACTATATTTGTCAGCTTTAATTGCATCGTGTTAATAATATCTGTGCAGCATATATATAATATTTAAACTGACTGTTTTCTAATTACTCTTCTAGGCAAAGAGTATAATATTAAGTATTCTTTGTCAGATTTCATCTATTGATTAAGCCGAACGGTTTGCTGATAGGAACATACAAACTTTTTTCTTTACTCGGCCCAAAACAGTTTAGGATCAAAGCAATTGATCTATAATGACGGAAGAACCGACGTCAGAGGGTGGGATGATAAAACAAGACTTCCAACCATTTGAATTGATTTTCCTCGTGCTGATATCATTATTGCAGTGTATCATTGGGTTTATCGGGAACCTTATCAGTCTGGTCATCATCATTTTTACCAAACGACTGAACCAAGTCCCTTCAAATCTATTAATTCTCAATCTGGGCGTCTCCGATCTATTAACATGCGTGGTTTTTCTGCCGTTTCATGTTTATAATCTATTTCAGGCTAGTCTCGACGAGACCCTGAGGTTCTACTACCATGCTTTGTGTTTATTTCATGTCTTCTCTAATGGAAATGCTATCTTGGTCATAACCATTGATAGATTTATTGCGGTTTCTTATCCATTACGTTATGAATCATTTGTTACGAAGCGCAGAACATTTCAAGCTATATTCATGTCATGGATTATGCCTGTCTCCTTCTCGTTAGCATTTTTTACGTCCCTACAAAAAGACTCACCAGAGAGTTCGGAGTTCGGATTACGCGTGTACATAATTGCCAGTTTGGTTATAGTGTTGATACTATACTTCATGGTCTATATGGCTGCCAGAAGACAACGGCAAAAGATACGAGCAATGTCAATTACTACGCAAGAGAATGCTAAAACCTTTCAGATTCGTGCACCAGTATGGAAAAGTACAGTAACTACGTTCCTTATAGTTTGTTTATATTTAATCACCTATCTACCAATTCTGAGTTACGATTTCAAGTTTTCATTGAACAAGAAACCAAAGTATACTATGGCCTCAGAAAGAGTTTATGCTTGGGTTCTTTCGCTGCAATTTGTAAATTCGTGTATCGATCCTTTTCTCTACGTGTTCCGATGTCGGCAGTTTAAAGTGGCGTTCTTACAACTGCTGCCGGGAGTTTTAAAACCACAGCGAACATATAACCTACCTAGGCTACCTTAACACTGAGCAGCAAATATGATCCGTGTATATATGGGTGCAGGAACACGAGAGACTATAGCTACTGCATGCCCTTTGCCGGCTGTTTCAGCAAATATAAAATCAAATTATTCCGGAAAAAGTGCATAATTGCAATAAAGTAATGTTATTTCGTATAAAATTGTTATATATTGCTGATGATGAATCGAAATTGATTGGAAATATACTGTTTAAATCAATTGTGTACTGTAAATATGTAATTATGCACACTTTTTTCGAAACAAGCTCGTGCCCCTCAAAAAGATGTAATTCTTATTCATAACGAAATATAACTAGAACTAGAAGCCTACTGAACATAACTATAGGGGCCTAAATAAAAAGCCTGTAGTTGTAAATATATGTAATCTTGTACATAATCGGGGAAAATAAAATAAATAAAAATATCATATCTGAAAACGCAGAAAATGTCGCACCAACCTAATTCCTCTTAACCTAATATATAGTACCATTGTTTGGCAAGAATGCCAATACACATCAACCAGAATTTTACATTTTCTACACCAAATTGTAAACTGGCCTCGGAGGAGCTAGTGTCCCAATCTCGTACCCAGAGTTTGCCCGTTCGCAGGTTAGGTGCTGAGCATGAGCACCTAACCTGCGAACGGGCATACTCTGGGTACGAGATTGGTAGTGTCCTGGCTGGCACTCTATAGGATCCGTGTGGCAGATAGGCCGTGGGCCGTTGGCCAAGATTATTTCGCTTCGTGGCAACCCCTTGGGGAATAGATTTTCTGTGATCCAATGCATAGTACCATGGATACTCTACTACCACAAAAAGTTCCCAAGCAAAAAACTTGCCAAACACCGAGAAAATGGGTGATCAGTGATTATCCCCTATTAAATTGTATTATAGCAAGAAAATGTGAAATTTTGTATTCAATTACAACAAAAATGACTTGCATCACCAGAAAGCTTACCAAAAACCACATATAAGGTATTCAAACAATTTTTCGATCCTTCAAATAGTCTTTGAGTTATTGCTGTTTTAAATGTGAAAATTGGACCAAAATGTCGCAATAAGGACTGGGTACCAGGTCAAAAACGCGTTTTTGACAGCGTATAACTTAAAAACAATTTGACGGATATAAAAAACTGTTTAAATGTCTTATATGCAGATTTTTGTAAGCTTTCTGATGTTGCAAGTCATTTTTGTTGTAATTGAATACAAAATTTCACATATTTTTGCTGTAATACAATTTAATAGAGGATAATCACTGATCACCCTTTTTCTCGGTGTTTGGCAAGTTTTTGCTTGGGAACTTTTTGTGGTCATTGAGCATCTATGGTACTATGAATGGACCATTTGCATTATAGACTAAATTTTGATCTAGACAAAAATTTCATCACAGCTGGAAAGAGCATCGCAAAATTAGTAAGTCTAGTAATATTCCAAAGTTTCCTTGCGAAATGTTGTAAAATGCGGATAATATAGCCATGCGAAGTTTGCCGTTTTTCAGTCATTTTGTATTACGCACGGGAAATTGACAGCCCAATCGGGTGTTGGGGCATCAATTTCCCGTTTGTAATACAAAATGACTGAAAAACGGCAAACTTCGCAAGGCTACATATATTATCCGCATTTTACAACATTTCGCAACGAAACTTTGGAATGTTACTAATTTTGTGATGCTCTTTCAAGCTGTGATGAAATTTTTGTCTAGATCAAAATTTAGTCTATAATGCAAATGGTCCATTTAACCACAGAAAATCTATTCCCCAGGGGGTTGCCACGAAATTGCTTTTCTAAGTACTTTTTCGCACAACGGCCAACGGCCTAAGACATGTATTGGAAAGAGTAAAGAAATTCCAAAAAAAGGTCCTGGAAATTTCCATAGACTACTAGTGGTGTATTTAAAACTACCATGAACAATCAGAAGATTTTTCCTGGTTGCCCAAATTGACTCGGTAGAACGGACGCAACTGTATGGACCCGAGAGTAGCTTTGAGGGTATATACTGACTGTCCATTCCATAGAGACTAAACCTCACGTGCAAAAGCCTTATTTGGGACAGCGCCTTAAAGTGCATATGACATGAAATTTCTTATTTTCTTAAGTGAAAGAACTTTTTAAGCTGTAGTGTAACTTATTTTTCAGTTTCTTGTTTTTATGGTTTGTCCCCGAGATATTTCAATTTGTTTGATATGTAAATGAGTGTGAATATGTCCGCTAATTTATGACGTCATGTTGGTTGCAAGCTCTTCAAAATGGTTGAATATCACTGCTATCATCCAAGATGATAATTTCAAACTTCACTCACTGGTAAATCTGATAAAATACTGGAGAAAAACGTGAACTGATATCAACAGTTTTTAGAGTTAATACATTTGTAACCAGTGTAAGTTGAGCTTGCAACCAACGTGACGTCATAAATTAGCGGACATATTCACATCATTTACATATCAAACAAATTGAAATATCTCGGGAACAAACCATAAAAACAAGAAACTGAAAAGTAAGTTACACTACAGCTTAAAGAGTTCTTTCGTTTAAGAAAGTAAGAAATTTCATGTCATATGCACTTTAAGCCATCGGACGAATAGTGGATCATCATCAGGCATTTCGAGTACAAACACTTCGGTGGCGAAGTGGTTAGCGCACTTGCCTTTCACCTCTAAGGCCGCAGGTTCGAATCTCAGTGTGAGCTTCTCAATGTGACTCGAACCCAGTCCTCATGTGAAAAGAGTAAAAGTCAACGCTCTGCCGAAAGTCGTGGGTTTTCTCCGGGCACTCCGTGTTTTCTCCCACAGGGAAAGTTGACAGGGTGGGTTAGGCACATAGGATAGGTCTGGAGGCAGATCATTAATGAGGTATGGACTAATAGCGGCTGCTCAAGCGCCATTTGTAAGCTCAAAGTCTACCTCGGTCTGCTTCTCGTCAGTCTGGTTCTATCTATCTATTCATAATGTAACCAGTCACTGAAAAGCCCTGTTAGGGAGTGTGCTGTGAAATATCTATCTATCTGATACCACTCCATTAGGAGCGAAGCACTCTGGCTTACAGCCCATAGCAGCAAGCCCATACATCTTCTTTTTTTAATTTTCATCAGCGTACTGTATATATTATGAAGAACGTTTATGATTGGTTGGCTATAACAATGAAACACAGTGATACTAAAGAATGTATTTTCTAAAAACAAATCACGTTTGTGTAAGCGAAACCCCAAACATGACATTTGAGACGTTTGAGATATGCTTACAATATTTCGTTGTCGGAATTTTTCCGCAATCATTGCCTTTGAAGCACTCAAAGTTAGAAGCAATCGCCTATTCATTAATAACTGATTTTTTTACTTTAGTGAAAAACATGAAGCCAACTTGAGACCAGCTTTGCATAAAGTAAGAATTATAACAATGTCGAAAAATAGTAAGCTCGTTCACAGTTTGCTCGTTTCATGAATGTTAGAACTGAGGGTGACAGGAGAGTTGGCTGTCCAAGAGGGGCAGAGGTGTCTAATTTAGAAACTAATCTGGATCTACGTTTATCACGAACGTTCGGTAGTAAGAATGTGGTCTGATTTGGTTTCCAACTTATTATAAAGTTGTATATCACTTCCACTGGACTAACTTTGTTGAAGAGTTCCTCTTTTGGAAGTGGTTTGTGTCAGTTAAAATAGCCTTACCAAGGTAGATGCTTTGTGACCTAGGAATAGACGAGTACTGCATATCAATGAAAGTGCCCTTTGGCGAGAATCTGCTCTCTTTGCCTTTTAATCTGTAGCTGGGGTTTTTCGAGTTTGTAGTCAGATTAGCAAGTTTGATTAACGAGGCAAATCGTTTAGGCAGGTAACGTGGAAGCGCGTATGCGCCACCTTGCTTGATCACCTCGCCAGGCCAAACTTTTATATAAACTTTTCAGGGTCCAATAATAAAGTACAATGTGAACCAAAAATACGCAACAACAGCAGTGACAGCAAGTGTAATACGAATGGTGGCAGAGAAACACGGAATTCCACTGCAGGTAAAATTTTCATGTTACAGTACGGAGTGACCGTAAGATTGTATTTAATGGTAAACGCTTACCAAAGTGTTGTTGACATTTAACACAATAACCATACATATGCGTAGTGCATCCTCGGTCCCAGGCTCTTCCCTCTGACGGAGTGCATTATCACAGAATAAAGACACACAGAAGGTCGACTCAGCCAAAAAAGCGCTGCCACACCATGATTCGTCATCAAAGTGCTGACGCCATGGTCCTAGCCAGTACGTTTATGAGAGGCATTAGACAGATTTAGATCGAGGACGCGGACGTCAAAGACGACGTGAAAATGGCGTGGCATATCCATACATGGGCACAACGCGCCATTTTCACGTCGTCTTTGACGTCCGCGTCGTCGATATAAATCTGTCTATTCACCCACTGGACGTCCGCCATTTTGAATATTAGAGAGGTTTAGCAAAGACGACGCGACGTCAAAGACGACGTGAAAATGGCGTGATATGCCCATCTATGGATGTGTCCACACCATTTTTACGCCATTTTCACGTCGTCTTTGAATGCCTCTCATAAGCACACTGGCTAGGACCATGGCGTCAGCATTTTGATGACGAATTACGGTTACGCCAAAATCATAGGAAAAACCAAGTAGTCGATCTTCTGTTTGTCTCTATTCTGTGGCATTATGCTGTAAACACTGTCTGTACCAGCGTAGGTAGTGGCAACACCAGAAAACGTCGGGTAAAAGAGGAATTAGAGAAACTTCGACGTTTCGAGCGAAGGCCTTTTGTCGAGAAGTTTTTCTTGTATTTTTTGCAGGTAGTTGAATCCCTCTCAATCCATAGTTTTCTGGGATAAATCAACTCATTGACCTTGGGAGAAATTCGGGATCAATTGCTATACCAGATTCTGACCGGGTTTTGTTGCTCAGTTCAATATATATGTAGAAATCAGTTACACCAAAGAAATGTAATTTGTACCAATTCCATTCTTTCTTGCTTCTGTAGGAATTTGGTGTAAGGAATGACAGTCCATGTGGTTCCACTATTGGACCTATTTTGTCAGCCAAGCTTGGAATCAGCACAGTAGGTAAGTTGAACTACCATGAGTGTTGTATGTCGCGTTTTCCTATGCCGCGTATTTGCGGAAAAGCGTATTTTTCTTTTTTGCGGAAAAGCGTATTTTCTAGTTCATACATTTAGCTCCTTTTTATTAAGTGCATCTGTCGGTTGAAAAACATATAGTCACAGAAAAATAGTTTAAAATACAACTATTAATGATGCGATAAAATTGATTCTTTATTTACAGCAATATAAGCAAAACCTACCAGCTAGAATCTTCTTATATAATTTATAGTTTATGCACTATAAAATATGAAATGAAATTACAATGGAGATGAAATTAAGTAAAATATTTGTAATGCAGTCGTAACCAAGTGATATTAGAGAAGTCCAGCTTTGACTTCCACTATCGCTACCACTACAATGGTCTTAGTACGCATCTGATTGGTTAATTGGATATACCATCTGACTGGTTAATGGTAGCGGTACCTTTCTGCTATACTCATTAGTTTTCAGCACGTGTTTACACGCCCTGTCGTATTATTGTCGTATTTAACTGTTATTGTTTCTTGTCCCTCCTTATCAAGTTTCTAGGTTGTTTGTTATTACTTTACAAGTTGTGGGAACAACGGGAAACAAAATTTGAAATCGAGATATGCACAACCTGATACTCAGGGTCTTCTCCGCTAACCCCCGAGTCTTCACCTCCGCTAACCCCAAGTCTTCACCTCCGCCAACCCCGAGTCGTCACCTCCGCTAACCCCCGAGTCTTCACCTCCGCTAACCCCCGAGTCTTCACCTCCGCCAACCCCGAGTCTTCACCTCCGCCAACCCCTTCAGTATCAGGTTGACATTTGCAGGGCTCAACGAAATGTTGGCAACCGAATTTATACCCTCGATATTTTATTTTAACTTCCCTTAATACTGTACTTCTATTTTCTAGACGTTGGAGGTCCCCAGCTTAGCATGCATTCCATCCGTGAAATGTGCTGTACAAGTAGTATTCATCACTGCACCGAGTTATACAAGGTAAAATAAAAACTTTCATTCACTTACTATTGCGTATTGAAAGCAGGATCCGAGTTGAAGCTAGGACTGCTCAACTCAAGATTTAAACTATCCCATCTAATATCGCCCCTCCCTTGAAGAACTTTGGCCTGAAGGGGCAGTGTGTAAATATAACAGTTGTTCACCATGCATTTCCAGAGCAAAACGCTGATATGGTGGTCTTCTGATTTCACACTAGTTCGAATAATTTCTCCCTTATTTTCGTAAAAATATGTCAGTGAAATAATGACAATGTAATGCACTGTACAAGTTTTCTCTTTTGAGTTGTAAAATTAATTGGTGTGCGATCATGTCCAACCAAAACTCAATTGGCTTGATGTTGTCAGACCAAGTTTTTCTCTGCTAAGGGGGTAAGAAAATGAATTTCAGGAGTGGGGTATCTTGATCATATTATCGTGACTGATGTTTTCTTCAGGGTTCAGTGTTCAAATTCGTCTTCGTCCACAATATATATAGGATATTACACGGCGGCGCGAAGATATGACTTTTATCTTCGAGTGGTGAAAACAACATTTTACGAACGAGCGCAGCGAGTAAAATATTGTTTTTAACACGATCAATTGTGAAATTTCAAGCAAGAAATTGTGAAATTTCACGCTCAAAAGCAAATTGGAAAAAGTCACGTGATCAATATCTTCACTAGTGAAGATATGGAAAATATCTCGCTGTGTATTTTTCAGTATCTCACTCTCTCCTATATAATAATGAATGATATGATTGCATTTTTTTTTACTTTTAGAATTTCTTCGTGGATTTTCCTGAAATCCAGAAATCACTTGTAGGGATTTAGACAATGTATCCTTGACTCGTTTCTTATCATATCCCTTGTAAAATTACCATGTATACAGACACGAGATTATTACTGGAATATACAACGTCAACAATTCAGTAATGATTATTAGATAAAAACGTTTACACTCATCTATATAAGTGGTTTAAATTAATCAACTGATTTAGCATCAGTTGCATGCTACTGGTAAACGCATAGATATCTTATATACACTAGATAGCGCATCTCTTTTAGTAAAATTGAAGCCAAGAATATTCCAGCGGTTACCCCCATTTGAATAGATGGCGGCCATGTTGGAGTTTCCCACTCGCTAATAAACGCTTAAAAATTTGGAATAGGTTTAACTTAATGTTTAAGTTCCCTGTTTAAGAAATAAAAAACATACGAGTCTTCTCATTTCATGGGAATATCCTGAGTCTGCAATCACGGCTTCAATTTTTGAATTGCAGAATAAGTAGATGCACTCTCTAGTGCATATAAGATATCTATGGGTAAACGTCAGTAAGCTATTCACAGGACAGCACCTCAGTATGGTAAACGTTTCTTCAGGGCCTCAGTCAATCTCGTACCCAGAGCATGCTCATTCGCAGGTTACCCCTAATCTGCATGGGCATGCTCTAGGTACGAGATTGAACCCAAAGATCTCGGAACAAACAATTAAGAATCTGAACCACGTACAACTATAACTGTGGATTGACGAAACTGTCGTAAAGTGTAGTAAAATGCTTTATATAATAACTACAGTGAAACATGCAATTTGATTGGTCAATAGCCGTGCAGGATCAGGCTATCCTGCACGAGGAATTGAAAGGCTTTCGCAGGATTCTCAAAATGTCATCGTTTCACTGTAGTTATTTTATAAAACACCCGAGACACTGCTGCAATAGTCGAAGTGTGGTTGAATTTATGACTTGTGAATCATGAGAACATGGTGTGGAACAAATTATTTTAATAGCCTCAAAACGCCAATAGCTTAATAATAAAAACACCCAGTAACGGTCCCAAAATAGAACAATCTGAAGGAAAGTTATTCACATAGGTAATTTGTTTACGTTCAATTAAATATTTTTGAAAGAGCGCTGTGGTTTTATTTACTAAAACCATAACGAGTTAACAAGATAGTTCAAAAGAATACCATGGTCAATGGTATCAAACCGTTTTCCATCTATCAGCAATATCCAGTAAGATTGTAAGGCCCGTCTACACTTGCAATTTTTGCTGCGATTTTCGTCTTCTGTTGCATGTGAATGAGTAGGTGAGTTATGAATGTTATGAGTATATGCAGAGAGTATATGTATACCTTGATGTATACCCTCATCTTAAAGGCCATTTTCCACTTCGCCTGTATCGTACCGTAACGTACGTCAAATTTACGTACTTCCGGTTGATTCGCGTATCAAAATAAAAAGTTCGTCGCAAGTCAACTTTTTAGCGTACTACGGAAGTATTAACCAATCAACATTCACTAAATTTTGAAATTTAAAATTTGTTTTGATACGTGTCGGTACGTTACGCTTGAAGTGAAAACGGCCTTAAAAAGAAAACAGCACTAGAAATCGCAGCAAAAATGTAAACGGAGAATGTATGCTCACGATGGGTGCATTATGTATACCGGTAGGCGTCATATATCAACATTTCCGAGCCAACTAGAGCAACATTCACATTCTGTGTTATTTAAAATTGTTTTTTAACTTCTTTTTTTTTTATTTTTGGCAAGTTGCAGTTTTTCGCAAGTTTTTCGCCGCTTGCTGCCATGTTGGAAAGAGGAAAATTTGTTTTGCGCATGCTCGATGTCGAACACATTTTTTATTTTTTTCGAAATTTGGGCACGGCACCGCTTGCTAGACGTGCCGAGACTACAGGCCGGTTTACACGACCAGTGTTTTGGGCACGGCACGCCTAAAAATGGGCACCCGTGCCGAAAATTTTAGGCACGGCACCTCTGCCTTTTGGCGTGTAAACGTGACAATAATCGGCACCGGTGCCGCAAAATTTAAACGTGCCGAGACTTTCTCACGAGGTAGTCTCGGCACGTCTAGCAAGGGGTGCCGTGCCCAAATTTCGAAAAAAATAAAAAATATGTTCGACATCGAGCATGCGCAAAACAAATTGTCTTCTTTCCAACATGGCAGCAAGCGGGGAAAAACTACAACTTGCCAAAAATAAAAAAAACAAGGTTAAAAAACAAATTTAAATAACACAGAATGTGAATGTTGCTCTAGTTGACTCGGAAATTTTTATACCACTGTTCGTCGCTGAAGAGAGCAGTAACTAGGTCGTAGCAAATAGCTGTCGTTCGATGCGTCCATACCTCTCGAATTCGTGGCGGGTGAATACAAGATGGCACAACATTTATGCGAGAAAACAACTCCTTTCGTCTTAAAGGGCCTGTTCATATGGGCAAAGGTTATTTCGGTTGACGTGAAAACTTTTCGACTAGCCAAATATACTTTTGTTCTGTCCACATGCATGGAGAAATGTTATTCCGCTTACCGGGTAAAGTTTCCGGCTGTGACATAGCACTGAATACCAACTGAATTGAAAAGTCAGTACTGACACGACAGAAAGCTATCCTGCCAAGCGGGAACTAGAGTTGTGTTCATATGGGAAAAACATTATCACTTGACAAACGAGATCTCGGTACATACACGGGAAAACGTTTTGTCTTATATGAACGCAGTGTAAACAAACTTTTCATATTATTTTCATACCAAGGCGAGATCTCGCTTGTAAACCGCTTTTCGAAAAGTTTTTCACTAACCAGGATAACTTTTGCCCATATGAACTGGCCCTTGAAGTACGTTCCTAGTATTGAATTGGTTCAGTTTTCCCTCGATTTTCGGCTCATATAATATTCTTCTTCGTTCCAATAAATATAAATATATAATTCTATTTCTGGCCGGCATATTTATTCTTTAAAATATACCGTCGTAAACGGAAAATAGAGGTGCCGTTTTCCGATGGGCACGCACTGAATATCAATTGAATTGAAAAGATGCTGATACGACAGAAAGTCAGTATCCCGCTAAGCGGTAAAGTTGTGTTCATGCATATGGGAAAAACATTATTCCGGTCACCGAGATTTGGCTTGTCAACAAGCAAGATCTCGGTACACGGGAAAACTTTTTGTCTCATATGAACGCAGTGTAACTTTTCATATTATTTTCATACCAAGGCAAGATCTCGTTTGTAAACTTGTCGAACCGCTAACCGAGATAACTTTCCGCTAACCCCGATCGCTAACCGGGATAACTTTTGCCCATATGAGCCTTAAAGTACTTTTCTAGTATTGAATTGGTTTTTCCCCTCGATTTTCGGCTCATATAGTACTCTTCTTCGTTCCAATAAATATAAGTATATAATTCTATTTCTGTCCGACATATTTATTCTTTAAAATATACTGTCGTAAACCGAAAGTAGAGGTGCCGTTTTCCGATGGGCACGGTGCCTATCATAAAAGTGTGTCTACAAAATGTTGTCGTGTAAACGAGTAAATAGCGAAGTGGCGGTTTTGGCACGGTTCCCATTTTCAGGGGTGCCGTGCCCAAAACGCTTGTCGTGTAAACCGGCCTTACCTCGTGAGAAAGTCTCGGCACGTTTAAATTTTACGGCACCGGTGCCGATTTTTGTCACGTTTACACGCCAAAAGGCAGAGGTGCCGTGCCTAAAATTTTGGGCACGGGTGCCCATTTTAGGGGTGCCGTGCCCAAAACACTGGTCGTGTAAACCGGCCTATAGACTATAAGTTACACGAGACCGGATCAATTCGGATACGTTCGCAAATTCGTCCGATTTTACGCCGAGCTTGTAACGTGAAAGACAAAATAGTGTAAACCTGATCGTCATTCGATCCCGTGGCTATACGGAATGTTCGATACACACAATGAAAGCTAGCTTGCGTACCAGGGGCCGGTTGTTTAACCCTCGGTTAAAATTTAACCTGCTGTTTTAGTTTATGTATTTCAGCACATCTCTTTAGTTTAAAACTTCAGAGAAGAAAACTCCTACTGATCCAGACAAGGTTTCTAAAGAAATATATCCAAATTTATATACAAACTGTTGGGAAGTTGCTTTGAATTTTAGGTTAACCTAGGGTTAATCCAGCTTTGTTTAGGTAATCATGTGATGGCGAGTGCAATTAGGGATTAATAGTACGAGTGACGTTTGGAAATTTTGCCACTGAATTGGACGAGCCGCCGGGGCGAGTTCAATTTGGCAAATTTCCAAACATCACGAGTACTATTAATCCCTAATTGTACGAGCAACATCGCATGATTACTTGTTTATTATTAGCATGACAAAATTGGATACTTCTCAATGTCAGCATCGTATTCTCTTCAGCCCAGTCCTGCCAGACTTTCAACTAAAATTTGGTGCTTTTATTCGTATTTTCATTTAGTTCTTTTGTTAAAGCAAAATTTGGATCAAAAATTTTCATCTAGTTCCTCTAGAGCAATTTCATTTCACATTTGTGTTTTGTTAAAATACCTTTCCGCTACTCCTCTCTCTCCTTTCCTCCAATCAGCATCCAGTAATTTTGTCATGCTAATAATAAGAACAGTTAACTGCCCCAGGTGTTTATTTGCGGAAATTAAGAATTTAATCGCATCTTCCAAATATAACATTTCGACTTGTTTCCTTATAGAAATATTTTCGGTTGCTGGACTTTTTTACGCAGTTACAAAACCGTCTCTTGTATTTGTATTTTTGTTAGTAGATCTATATATTAAAACATTGGTGTATGCAAACCGATCTCTGGACTTGAACTAAGCTTGGCAGTAGACCAGGTAGATTCCCTAACATTTCTAAAACCCACCGAAAGGTATGGTCTGTCAAATTTTTACACAGTATTACTTAGTTTTATTTAAATGTTATATGTTCAAACATGGTTTCAAACTCGATGATTTCCTGCATGAGCAATGGAACTTAATGATATACGGGTTATACGGGTATACATTTAACGTATACAGTGGTATTTACAGTTTAAGTGTAGTAGTCAATCAAGGTATATGGTCTGGAAAGTCGGCCAAAGTCTTCGTTTTATCTTTTGATCCACGGGAAAACAATGAATACATTTTTGATAAAATGAATTCACTCAAATTCAAAAGACCTCATCTCAATATAAAATCGTAGCGCACTATTGACGCTTTAAAGTTTGCAGAGTTTTCAGACCATATGTCCATTGACTATGGTTCATCTGTCATGGGTTTCACACTTGATAATCTGGTTGCTGAACATACTGATCTTGTATTGACGTACTTGATACTTGATTAATCAGCTCTGTTGCTGCAGTGGATGTTGCAAGATGTCCGACAACAGTCATATCGGCTTGTGTTACATAGTGTTGTTCTTGCGTCATACTTGCTTGCTCTGCTGTGCTTGTGGATATCATTTGAGAGATTAATTGTTGAGGTGTGATCTGGTTGGGTTGCAATCCTATCTGGCCTAGGATGTTCTGGAGGGCTAAAATAACGAAAATGATCGGAAATTACTTTAGGTTTAGAGATGTTTCGTGTTTCAACGCATTGTGGTTTGTGTCTGAACTACCTGAAAAAGATGGAAGTGATCTTTCTGATGTAGTTCACAAATGACGGGTGTGCACCTCCCCATGAAAAGTCATAACACCCCTTCCGGCCTTCCCCTGAAAAGGCCATCCCAACTAGTGGTGATGTGCAGCCCCAAAATATATGCACCGGCCCTGAGGCCTTAACAGACGTACTTTTGATCTTAGTAAGTCGGGAACTAACAGTATCTGCACAAACGTAAGCAATTTAGTTGGAAACAACGAACCTTGTGGATTGGTACTCAACTTTTCTTGATCATTTGCAATATTTAAGAGTGTATTAATGGTGTTTGGATCCAACGTTGCACCTTCAGCTAGCTGTTGTTGTGGAATTATGGCAAATAAGGTTCGACCACCATTTGAGTCTTCTGATGAACCTTGACCTTGTTGGGCGTTTGAATCATCTAAAAAAGGAAGAAAATAAATACTTTTTGATTCATATTATTCTTAGGCCTGTTTCAAACGTCGCGCTTCTCATGTGCCGAACGCATTAGAAACAACAGATAACAAGACGCTCTACGGAGCGTTAACTCGCTGTGGCTATACTAGACTTGGTTGAAGGTTTTCTCTTATATTTTCGCACCTTTTTTGACCGCTCGCGTGCATCGCTATTTTCAACCCCTTGGCCTTGAGAGACGAACTTGAACCAAGTCTAGGGCTATACAAATACGCATATTACTGTGCATCATGATACATACAGTACACAGCTATTTCAATTAAGATTTAAAGTTTTCCCCGAGCTAAGCGGAAAAGTCGAATACCGGCGCGAAAGGCTTAATAATAATAATAATAATAATAGCTTTATTCATCCATCTTAAGATAAAAAAGTACAATGGACTTACAATTACTTGTTTAAGAAAGTATATATGCTGCGGATATGTCTTTATATTACAAATTGTTGTAAGATAATTTAGAAAACTAACTAAGAAGTTAAAACTAATAAATTCTTTAATCTAATAAGTTCTTCTAATAAGTTAAAACTATTTATACATATTTACAAGCTCTACCTGAAAATGAATGTTTATGCCTTTCAGTTCCTGAGAAGAATGATATATTGCGATTCCGGTCAATCTTCCTTAAATTGTACTGATTGTTAATTAATTTTGGTAAAACACTGCGACAGGGATGGTGTGGATCGTTCATAAACCTATCAACTTCTCGACTAGTTGCCTCTTCCCTTCTTTCGTTCAACGGTGGTAGGTAATCTTTTTCCAGGCCAAGGATTCTTAAGCTCCTGGATTGAACACGCTCTATTTCATCTCGCAGGTAATTAGGGAGTCCCGCCCAGACAGGTGATGCATACTCGAGAATTGGTCTTATTTTGGATTGATAGGTAATAATACCGACTTCAGCTGGTAACTGCGATTTCCTGCATTCTCTAAGATGGTAAAGGCGTTTATTTGCTTTACGTGTAATCTCTTCAACATGTGCGTTCCATTTTAGATTATTTTGGAACGACACGCCAAGTAATTTAAAAGCGTTGACCCTTTCTATTAACTCATTTCCAATACGAAGACGTGGTGGTTCAGGTATAGCGTCCGTGAAAGAGATCCACATGTCCTTAGTTTTTTTAGCATTAATTGCCATTTTATTTAACACCGCCCAGTTATTTACTTCATTGATAGATTGTTGTAAATTACTATTAGAATCTACGCTCACTATTTGGTGTTGTGTGCAGTCATCTGCATACTTATTCGTACTGACTTTTAGTTGTTCTGGTAAGGCGTCCTCCAAATCATCAATGTAGGTATTAAAAAGAATGGGAGATATTACAGAGCCTTGCGGGACTCCGGCCGGGCATGTTACAATGGATGATAAGGTACCATTGAGATTTACTTGTTGAACTCTTCCGGAAAGGAAACTTTTAATCCATAACCAGAAGGGTTTATTTATGTTCATAGCTGCTAATTTGTTCAAAAGAATATTGTGATCCACAAGGTCGAAGGCCTTACGAAAGTCAATGAAGGCCGCATGAACCCCCATTTTGCCTGTTTTTGAACAATCAGTGGCATTAAACCAGGTTTGGGTAGTTGATATTAACGCAGAGACTGTGCTTCGATGTTGAGTAAACGCGTGCTGGTTATTCTTAATTTTCAGGTCTTCAATATTTAACTGGAGCTGGATCTTTTCCAGGATCTTGGCAAGATGGGGTAAGACTGATATCTGGCGGAAATCATTGTTAATGTCTCTCGGCGGTTGCACTTTAGGAACAGGGGAAATTAGGGCATGTTTGTAGAGTGATGGATAACAACATTGACTTATACTACAGCACACAATGTCATAAACCACAGGAGCTAGGTCTTCGTGGTATTGTTTGAGCATCCATGCAGGAACCTTATCGATGCCAGTTGCTTTTCTTGGATTAAGATGTTTTAAGACCGCTTTAACTTGGCCAATAGAAGGAAGGGGTGGTTTGTTATTCTTATGTGGGTGGTTTACTTCAGGTATTTCAAAGGCGACATTCGTGTAACGGTCCGACCATGGTTTAGTGAAGGCTTTCTGAAGTTTTTCAGCTAAGTCGGATAAGTCTAGGTTTTCGGGCCTGTGTGGAAATTGGGTTTGGGTTGTGTTTTCGGCATTTACTAAAGAGTAGATACAGTTATACCACTTCGATTGATTCGAGGTACGAAATTCTGAGGCCTTGGACCGATAGTAGGTGGCTTTAGCTTTAGCTATAAGATTTGCCACTTTCTCGCATAGTTGTTTGTATCTTGACTGATCACCACGAGAAAAGGCCTTCTGACGAGCTTTGATTTGCATTTTAATATTACCAGTGATCCACGGTTTATCAGAGTGATGTACTCTGATAGTTTTTTCAGGTAAGAACTCGTCAAGCATCCTGATTATAATTGAGTTATAAGCTGATACTTTCTCATCCACATCCAGTGCTGAATATACAGTAGTCCAATCTTCAGAAGCCATATTCAGGGAGAGGTCATTTAAATTTGCCCGTTTCATCAATCTAATTTTTTTTTACATAACCGGAGAATTCTGTCTTTTAATGGGCTTGATTGGAAGACATTGGTGGTCGGAGCGTCCGATTAGGGGGAGATGACTAACAGTGTCAAAGAGAGGGAGGATATTTGTAAGGATTTTATCAAGAATGCTGTGTCCTCTAGTCGGTTTAGTTACAGATCTTTTTAAATTAAATCTGTTACATAGTTCTCTTAATTTTAGTTGATTGAAGTCCCCAGCTATAACAATTCCAGATGAAGGACGTTCGCGCAAGAGACTATCTATACAAGTAGTTAGGTATTCATTCATATCGATTGCTTGTTCGGCGGATTGACCAGGAGGGTAGTACACAACAGCAGCAACGATTGTACTGTAAGGTCTAGGGGTTCTTGGGGGTTTTAACAACAACCATATCACTTCTTTGTTTTCTTCTTCGAGGTGAGTCATACGC